GTTTCCTTTGCATGGGGCAGAGACTGGTGGTCTTTATTCTGGAACCTGATATGACAAAATCGGGAACCTCTTATTCCTTCTGCTCCCTCAGCAACAATGGCATAGATATGGCCCACCCTTTCCCCTCATTTTGCTATCATTCGCAAGTAACTCGCATTACACTTTTTTTTTCTCACCAACACAGCTTTTTGCCAAGCTTGATTCCCCAGATATTCCTGGCCTGCTCTTCCATCTCATTGACTAGGACGGGGAGAATGGTTGTCCAACTATGTCTGAGAACCCAAGTTTAGAAAAGGTTGCTCTGTAGCCTAATTCTCCTTAATGCAGTCAGCCTTTGTCTGGACTGTACTATCTAAGACTGAGAATGAAAGTTTACATGACTGGATCCTCCCCCATACAAAATAAGAGTTTCCACACAGAAACCTAGGGGTGGAGGGAAAGCCTATTGCAACTTTTCCATTTACTTAATTATTGGTGGGAGAAACCCTCATTATATATGGTAGTAATTTCACGTGAGCCCCTTCTCTTTCATATATGAAGTGGTATAGACCAGACAGTTACTATCTCACTAACAAACAGGACTTCAGGTTACTAAGTTACGAGGAAGATGAAGACACACAGACGGTTGTCCTTCAGAAGCAGACATACAGTTCTCATTGTATCATCTAGTGCACTCTTGCCAAAAGTGATGCCTTCAGCTCCCTGCAGCTCCCCAAATTCTGTTGGCCATGGTAGCTAAGAATTCTGGAAGCTACAGTTCCAACACTTCTAGACAGCTTCAAGTTGGATAAAGCTGATTAAGTTCTATCCTACCTGACTCCAGAGGACATTTTGTCCTTCAGGATTTTAGCTGAGTCACCTAGTATAAGGTCTTGGTACTCTAATTCAACTCATTTTTTGGGTGATCACCTGCTCCTTGAATTGCCTCCCTTCATTTCCTTATTTTGCTGTTTACTGACTTCTTCATCCTTTGCTTAGCCATCCCTTGCTTTCCCAGAATGCCATCCTTCCTGTACTCTGTTCCTTCTACCAAAGTTCTTCCTAACTGTTCTCTGCACTTGCTTGTTCCGCAATAAAAAAAATAAACATGACATAGGACACTGGGAAATTTAAAATGGAAGTAGCTTCTTAGATCCAGCCATACTACCATCAGGGACCAAGGCAGATTTTAATACCAGTTGGCTCTGCTCAGATTATGGGCTTTGGCCCAAGGATGCCAGTTGCTTATGAATGATCTGAACTTTCCCTTAGTTCCATATTACAAGTATTGTTAGAGCAGAATATAAGAGGTGCTGTGAGTTGTTCAGCTTTGCTGCACAGCAACTTTAATCAGCCCATCCTCAGTGATGAAAGAGCTCCATGCCTTCATTGAATCTACACATGAGCAAACAGTTTATCATATCTTGTTCCCAGCACTGGTAATCCAATTTCTGATGTTTTTCATTATGCGTAAATGTGTCTTTCTGTGTTTATATATTTACAGATAGAGACCGAATGGGAAGAGAATTGATAAAGATGTTTAAACAATGGCTGTTTTGTTTGTGTGTGATTCTGTCAGTTTTTATAGCAACATTATGGAAACAGGACAGGGAAACTAAAATCCGATTAAGCCTAAACCCTGGCCCATTATGTGATTATTATAAGCCTCAGCACAGTAGGAGTTATGTTGTTATGATAGAAGGGATTTCCAGTATAATTAGATCAAATTGGGAGCACTGGAGAAATCAGGACAAAACATTACAATGGCTTTCCTGTAAATACCAATAGCGCCAGCTTCCAGTTAATGCTTATCTGATCAGTGTCAATTATCCATTTTAGAGGGTCCTTTAAGCAAAGCTTGCCATTTCTCCCTCCCCCATCAAGGTGGGAAGCCCTGGGTTCCTTGGCCAGTGTAATATACACAACTCAGAAACTTGGAAGAGATTAAAAAATGATCTTGTATTGTATTGGCTACCAGTGAATTTCTGGGTGGGGTGTTTCCCCACTTCCACCCAGTCAGGAAGCATGAGAGTTTAGAAACCTTTTATAAGATAGTGAAGTATTTTGAAGCTTTTGACTGGTCTTGCCCAGGAGGCCAAATTAAAGTTGGGGGGCTGTAATGAATTGCTGCCTCCCAATATTGCACTCACATGCATTCATACATGCACATCCCTTGTGCATACACTCATTATGCAAACACCATTTTATACAAAACAATGTAATTTTTTAAAAGATAAAAAACCCCTCTGTATAAGATACATGCATCCCAACTCTTCCTGCCTGTATTTAAAACCACAGCGTACCAAGAACAGCAAGAAATATATTATGATGATAACAATCATAGGGTTTAGCATCAGGGGAACATTTTTGGTTATTGTTTCTGTCCAACCAGGACAATCCTTATTAAGTTGTGATATTGTATCTTCTACTAGTCACCATATGCTGTAGCATAACCTCAGCCAGTTATACCAGCCATAACTTCAATGGCTTGGTCAATTGGTAATTCTGGTAATTCTTTAAACCTTAAATAGCCCAGGAGTTAACCGACTCTACATAGCTATTCAAGCCTTAAGGTCTGCAAAGGCACATATATTCAGTGTCTTCTCCTGTGTACCTGCTAGGCTGTTTAACACAGTTCTTCAGGATTGTATCTGGCTGCCATTCTCTCAGCTTTTAGAAGATCACCCAAGATGTTTCTAATGGTTAGCCCCATGTTTATGTTAGTTTAAAATTATGCTTTAAGAGTTTATTTTGTAGTCTGTATTTTAATTAATGTTAATCTTCTGGGATACTTGGCTGGGGAGACAGGCAGGATATAAATCAAATAAAGAAATAGTAATCATGAAAAAACTGGAGTATGCCTGGCTGAAGAAGGGGGGGTGTAGTATTTAGTATTCTGAGCTTGAATAAAGGAGACATTTATTCAAATTGTCATCCAGCCACAAAACTTTCTGGATGACTATGCACTAGTCTGGACATTTCAGTCTAACCTACTCCATAGAGCCGTTGCAAGTTTGCAGGAAACGGACTTAGGTGTGCCACCTTGAATTCCTTTGACTATTTTTTTAAAAAAATCTTTGTTATTGGAGGATTCTACTGAAATCACAGTTAGCTGCCTCCTAAACTTTCTAATTTGCGAGATTTTGAAAGAGGATCAAATTCAACTTTACCCACTGCCAGAATGCATTCATTCTATGCATTAAGGCTGGACCACTGGATACATGTCTTGGACTGTGCAGGGCAGAGGGTTCACAGTATTGAAAACATAGATGCTAATATCATAATGTCCTTATATAAATCAATGGTGTGACTGCATCTGGAATATTGTGTGCTGTGTTGGTTTGTGCACCTCAAAAAGGATAGAGCAGAGCAAGAGAGGTTTCAGAGGAGGGCAACTAAGATGATCAAGAGGCTGGAGCAGCTTCCCTATGAGGAAGGATTGTGACATTTGAGGCTTTTTAGTCTAGAAAGGAGGAGAATGAGAGGGGACATTATTGGGGTATACCAAGTTATGCATGGAGTGGATAAACTGGACAAGGAGAAGCTATTTTCCCCTTCCCAAAATACTAGAACCAGAGTTCACTTAAAGGAATCGGATCCTGGAAGAATCAGGACAGACAAAAGGAAATATTTTTTATGCAACGCATAATTAAACTTTGGAATTTCTTGCCATGAGATGTGGTGCTGCCTACTTACTTGTCTGGCTTGGAAAGAAAGAAAGAAAGAAAGAAAGAAAGAAAGAAAGAAAGAAAGAAAGAAAGAAAG